CCCTATTTTTCACATGAGGGAACGTTTTAACGAGTGCATTCTTTGGCAATTCAAATGTATAGTATTCCTGGCTCATCCAACACAAATTTTCTAACGCATTTATACCAAATCCGTCCTCTAAGGAAGTCAGTTGTCACTATAACTTTTACACTTTGAGAACTGAATACAATACTAAATGGGAATTTAGCTGTTCAATGAAGTTAATTACTGAAGTTTTCCCATTGAAAGTGACTGCAGGTTTCATGGCAGCCCTTATGGTATCCACAATGATTCGAAATCCTTCCATGGGACTAACATTACTCAGCATCATAATTTCCAACCGTCCACTGGACTAACTGAACCGGTGAAAATTGCGATGCTGAGGGACCCAGACTAAATGTAGAATTTTCTTGAGGCACAATTCTTCTAGATGTTAGCGCGTCAGTAAGCAGTTTCATCCTCTTTGGTAACATAAACTGAGTAAGAACTCTAAAAGGCGTAAGGGAATTCTCATGTCTTGGAAGTCAGACAGACTTCGAAAACGTGTAAAAGACCTTTTTATTAACTTAGAAGGCACGGCTTGTGCTTTGCAGAGCCAGCTAACATTTATGGCCTAAATCAAAAATAAGAATTTAATTTAATTTAGAAAATTGTAGTTAGCCCAAAATTTACGCAGGCAGAAAACGCGCAAATTGGCTCAGAAGTGATATTGGCTTTACAAACCTAATAACGAGAATAATACAACGCCGCAGATAAAGTGTTTTCAAGAGAATGAACTAGTAACGTGGCCTTCAGTAGACGGAACACGCTCTGATTCTATACTCTAAATCTTTCCTTTAAATACTATTTCTTCTACCTTATATGAATGCACGCGATCTAGAAATTAGCATTCTGACAGAAAAACGGAAAGCGAGGATGACAGATTAACATAAAATAAAATAACATAAAATAACTGGTTTATCAAAATAAATGAATACGCTAGAAAGCTTTAGCCATTCCCGACAAATGCATTAAGTTATAAATGTCCGGTTATTTGAAAAAGACCTTTCGGACTCAATTTCTTTAGTAATATTGCGAAGCTATAACTATATATTTACCTTTAGGCAATAATTTAAGAATATACCCATAAAATAATCAAACGAAAATTGTATATTGTATTAAATATTCAAAAGCAAATTGTCAATTATTAACTAGCGAATACTAGAAGGTTTATTTAGGCGTTTTTCATTCGTAACTAAAGTAATTTTGGTAATGTTAAAGGAACAGGCAAAAGGGAGAGATATTTCATCAAACATTAACTCACTGTCACAGTAGAGTTCTTGAGATATAACTAGGAATAACATTAGAATAAAGTGAAAATTTCTTAGAATTAGATCGTAGTGTTTATTAGGCTTTTCAAAAGAAGGAACGTAAAAAAATCAGCGATCCCTTCCCGGAATTCCAACTACTGGCTTTACGATTATTAGCAGCAGGTACTTCCCAGTTACACCACGGAGGCTCGCATTGAAGAAAGATTATTCCTTACAACCCTGACAATCAGACGAAATAGACTTGGACCAGTCGAAAGTTTTCTCATATGTGTGAAATATAGATTAACCATGAACTCTCTCTAAGCCAAGGATTTCTCGGACTCCAGGAATGACTTACAAGATTACAGTAACGGCCTTAAAGCTTAACTTATAACGAGTTTCCTCAATTCTTGGGTAATTTCCTTTTCTAATTTATCTCTTAAGGGATCTAGATTTATTTGAATAGGATAAAGCACTTTCCAAAGGACTGACTCATATTCACGTTACACATAAGGGAAATTTAAAAGGCCCTTAAATTCAGCCCGTTTGCCAGAATTTGAATCAAGCTGCCATTATTCAGTGGTTTTATTCGCCCAATCACTGGTAGACTCACTGCAAATTTATATGCTTGAATTCAGTTTGGCTCACTCTAAAACTGGTTTAATATTTTAACGCTGAAGAATGAGTTCTATTCTCAGTTTTACATTTGAATTTCAAAATATTAATTCAACAATGTATTGACTTGTTAAGACCCTTGTAATTAAGACAACATAAGACAATTGAGATTTATTCAAACTTAGCCTTAATATGAATCTTTAATATAAAGGAGTTGTTAGTTAAAAGTACATGACAAAAAGATTTAATACAATTAACTTCAGTATACATGCAGCTACATGTAGTTTATAAATACGTAACAGTGATTCAAGGTATTTATAGGTCAAAATTTAAAATTAAGATACAGTAATCTGATTTAGCTATTTCACGAATTGCTTACTTAATTTCAGTCAGACAAGACTGTATCAGTGCTGACAATAACGGAAAACTTTCAGCACGGTTGCTAAACCTTTATTCTAAACTTAGACCTATAAAGTCTAGTTCTCTTAAGGAGCATACGCTATAGACTTCAAAAAGCTATTGAAGAATTATCTTCTAGATTTGTGAAACGAAATAAAAGTCAGAAAAAGGTTGTATAAGACCATTTTATTCGAAAACAACTTAACAGTTACCCAACCTAAGTTTACACAAGCCAAGCACTTCTGGCATAACAGAATAACGTAGCCGTTGAATAAATTCAAAATGGGGTTGATTACAGGATAATTTAACGCGCAGGCAAAGCTCTGGTATGTAGAAAACCGGTGAGACAAAGAGAAAGGGCTAGAAGACTCAACGTCATTAAATCAGGTCGCTAATAATCACGGCACAACGTGGCTTGGAACAGGCAGACACGCTCTAAAACAAACTAACGAAACTCTTCCTTAAATAGCACTTCTTTCTACCTTAATCTGAATAAAAGCTCGTTATCTCATTTACATTATGGCATGAAAAGCATGGATGAAAAGAGAGTAATTTTAAAATGCTAACTTAAAATGAACTATTAGTCAAAAATAAGTATAAGGGTCGTTCAAATGAAAGTGGTATTGCTCTAATGACTCCGCCATTTGAAAAGAAAGCTGACTGCCCATGCACCTGTACAGGGCGCTGACTGCTCGGGTTGCAGAGGATATCGTCAGATCTCGCCAGATGCCTGTGTGATAACGTCGGAGCACGTTAAGAGGCATCGTTCGCATCCTCCAAACGGTGTCAACGCGCGGTCTTGCAATTTTTAACAGCGGGAAATGCGAGTGCTTCTGATATCTATCGTAGAATACAAACTGTGTATGGCATGCAATATATGAAACGTAGATCGGTATACCGATGGTGTAGAAAGTTTCGTAGTGGAAGGAGCAGTACTGATGACAGGCCACAACCTGGTCAAGCGCATGTGGTACCCAGGAAGCAGTATTGTGCGCACACTTCCTATGCTCATAGACATTTCCTCCGTTATTTTTTGAGTGGTGATTCGCCGATTCATTTTCTCCAGACGATCCACATTTGCAACTGCTTCCCGGGTGATTACCACATACGTTTGACCAAGTTGTGGCCTGTCGTCAGAACTGCTTCTTCCACTACGAAAATCCCGACACCATCGGAATACCGATCTGCGTTTTATTTTACGTTACGTCAAACAAAAGAGCAGAAGTTATGAGTGTGTTGTTATATCACGTTTATCTATAATTGCCCTTAAAGTAAGCTGTTTGGCTGCAGTTTATGTGTCGGCGAGATAATACATAAATACCGGAATCCTTTTTGGCCAAGGAGGGAATTTCATTCCGTTTTGTTTGCTTATTTCACCGATTATAGCAAAATAAACGAATGCTATGGGTTCTATTGTATAGATCCGGAGAATGAGGATCCCTTATGTATGTGTAACTCAGAAGAAAAATGTTGAAAATACTATAAAGCAGCAAGAATCAACGTAACTTGCATAAATTTGCAGGAATATTTTCGGAAGTTTAAATAAACATTCTTTTTCAAGAGCAAAAATAAAAGTGACGAAAGAGAAACATATGTTCACGCGATAATGACAGACAAAAAAAATCGAGATAGATTTAATTAATTAAGGAAAGAAACAAAACTCCTGCACCATTAATTGACAAAAAAAATGAAAAAAAATATGAAATAGTTGCTTTAAAAGCTGAAAGTATAGAAGATTAGAATCTAATTCTAATTCTTGAAACTAATCCTGGAATTCAGTTCTAGAAACTAATCATGTAAATTTATGCAACTTAGACTGATCTATATTGCTTTAGTCTTCCTGCATGTGTAGGGTTTCAGATGTCCCAGATTAGTCTGATCAGTCTAGGATTTGTATTTATGTCAGTAGTTTTGTTCGGGATTTTTTTTAAAGTGATTATCTTCTTAATCAGCTTCTCCATTAAATGTTTCAGATTTAATCGAAAGGACTTTCTCAACTATGAACAACATTTGGTCTCTAGAAGAGTGGATTATATGTGCCAACAGTAAGGGAACTTTTAAGCTTGAAAGTGACTTCCAAATGTTCATATGATAATATCTATGAGCATATAAAATCCAACAAAAAGTGTTAATGAAAATACTTGCTAATGAAGATTATGCAAGAGTGAAATATCCCTCCCATCCTATCCTGTCTCATGCAGAACTGACAATGAAATTTCATTCCACATGATTTCGCTTTATTCCTTCACACCAACGTCTGCATGTCATACAGCCTTATATGACGCTGCAATCCTTATCTAATGACAAAACAGAATTTTTCATGAAATGTCCTGCTTTGGTTATACACAGAAAAGTTTCGGGGAAGGGGGAAAGGAATTGTATAACTTGTAACTGGAGGACTGACCACAGAATACAGTATTGTATAAACACAAAACGTATAGCTTGAATGGATCAATGCCAAAATCAGTTTTTTTACAGGATTCCAGTGCATTATATGTTTTACCCTGTCTTCCCTCAAACGTTCTTGGGGCTGGATTCTTTTTCTTAAAATATGGTAAGCTTAGGCATGTGACTTTCTAAGTAGAATCCATGCATATTCTTAAATGGTATGATTACAAATTATATTGAATTTTGTTAGCCTTCAAGTAACAGCTACTTCTCTTTTATTTGAAAAGATATGTTGAAAATATTCATAAAGAGTCACAAATGCATACATACAAATCAGTTTATTCACTGGGAACAAAGGAGATTTTATTTTAGACAAAAAGGCTCTAAAAATGCAAATGAAGTTTTACATGAACATGTTATGACTGAACTGGATATATTTAAGACTATATATATTTTAAACACTTGCTGTTATATATACTATAAGGTATATCCATTTTTAAATGCTAGTAGAAGATGTAAAATCATCTCCACGAAATTGCACACATGTGAGTTTCTTTAAGCTGTCGAAAATGAGCTTTAAACTTTTTATATAAGTTTTAATTATAATAATGTCTCGTACTACCGCTTGAGACTTATTTAGAGTCCAGATGTTTTCGGGAGCAACATCTATAGGCTGGGGAGTTTTCTCCAGCCACGAAGACATATGTTCCAAGAGTATTTTATTATCTTGAACAGTATATTTCAATCGTTCATAGTAGCTGATATCATCCTTTTGCCATTGTTCTTCCATTCTTTCAAAAATATTTCTATACTTTTCGAAAATTGTCCATACTTCTAGAAACAAATCTTCCGCCTGTAAAAATAAAAACATGTTTTTATATTCATTAAAATAGTTTTTTTATGTTTTTAAATGCTTAAAATTTGTGTCGAAAATTATGACTTTCCCCTTTCAGGCAAGGGCAAAGACAAATTAATAATTATAATGTCGAGGTGGTCTTATGTGTAACAATTTATTGTGAAATATTCTGCTACACGATCCTTAATGCGAATTTCTGCAAACGTTTGTAGGGTTCCTCACTTCTTTTGTCTAAGATGAACATCGAGGAACCCAGTGAACTGTGTAGCGACTTATCGCTGAGTTCAAACAACTAAAGACGTAGATTCGAGAAGGGTTAGAATACCCTTTTTTTCACTCATGACTAACAGTCGGCATCCTTCTCGGGCTTTGACTCAGAATACAAAATAAGAAACTGAACTATAATTAATTAAACGAGACTTAGCGAAGCTAAACGCAATTAAGGCAAACACGCGCTTCTAGGATTCCTAGCACTCTCTATAGAAGTAAGTTCTCTTTTATTTGTTTCTTAAATACTAAGAAGAACTAAATACTAAGGAAATGAATTTCTTAAATACTAAGAAGACTCTGAGAAGTTTCTTAAATACTTCTTCTAACTCCTTTGCATTCAACTCTTCTAAAAATTCATTCTGGTAGAGAGTTGTAAGCAGAAACAGAATTGACAGGAAAGGCTTCGAAATAAAATAACTGTCATAAAATTAAAATATACCTTACAAGTTCTTTACTTCAATAATCGTTAATTTAATGATCTTTTTATAAGAACATTAAATATATTATCTGCTTTTCTGCTGGTAAAATGTTGCAACGTTAATGTTGCAGCGCTAAACAATACTTGGGAACTTTTATAAATTATTTGCATTATTTCATATGGTGGCATAAGTTAACACCTGCCATTATGACTGTAATTAATTTAATCAAAACATATTACACATTCATCATATATTTTAAAGGCAAAAGTAATTTTTTGAGGATCTTTTCAGCTATAGGACAACCTGGTGGTACACGTTTTCTCATAAGAAACATGTATCTTAGTTACGGCATTATGTTTGAGCCCATTAACATGGTTATTAGTCCAAAGGGGCAATTTGACCAGAAGGACTATTAATTACGTTTTGGCATTTTGCGTTGAAAACTATAAACGGCGAATCAATTGTTGCCACGAAATATTACAGCCCTGTATTATATTTAAAGAAATTAAATAATAAAGAATCTGCGTGAATGCATGTATGTTTTTCGCACTGTGTTAAAACAACGGTGCCTAGAGCCATCAAAATCTGAATAACGTAATCTTCCACAGAATATAGGAATATGGGCATGTGGTAGCCGTCATTTGAATTTGAAATTTGTTTTATTATCAATTTCATATTTTGTAACACTTTAACGAATTTTTGGTTAACAAACTAAACGATTTAAAAGCGTACAATGGCAACACGGTATGGGAAAAAATTATCTCCAGTGCATGAGACTCTGTATCCAAAATTCTAAAGATATGCTCATTTTAAAATTGTGCGATATTTCTGTTGGACTTCATTTTATGGTTTGCACACGTAGAACATGATATATAATAAATAAAGGTAACACAGAAAACGGGGAAAAAACGCCCCTTAGGACGCAATTTAAAATCTTAAGTCTTTCAGAATTTTTTTCTTTTTTTTACATCTTTTCTTTTGCTTTATTTCGCACCAAGGCTCCTTCATTCCATGATTAATGCCGATTTGAGTAATAAGCAGTTCTATTCTAAAGTAACGCATAGCCGGTATGCTAGAGATTTTACATTTAAGCCGTTTGCGTGAAATCTGCCTTATGGAGAGCAACCGTTGACTCTCGTTAAATTGTCGCAAAATTAATTTAATATGTTTTTGAATTAATGTTAGGCTCTCACCTGAATCTTAAGGACGCTATTAGAATAAATTAGATATTGTAATTAGGAATAATATTTAAGGAAGCTTGTTCTCAGGCAGACCCAGGTGAATGGTACTTCTGTGTTGTATTTTAATTTAACTCACATGAGTGGTGATGTAGATAAATTTAAAGCATATCTGAGTTCGTTTGCTTTAATTAAACGTTATAATTCACACATACAATTTGCGCAATACTTAACCAGATTTGTAAGTTGAATTACTTAAGTCTGTTGAGCCCTAAATACATTAATTTTTTCAATAAAAAGAGAACTAAACTAGATTATTATTTTAATGTTCTCGTATTCAAAGTAGGTATTACCAAAAATTTATCGAAAATATTTAAATTTAAAACGAAATTAACAAAAAGTAAGAAAAGGCTGACAAAAGACGAAAATCTCAACTGCAATTTGTTCAAACCAGTTTTTATCTGTATTCCAGCTTCGTTATGAGAAACGACATTGAATGCAGTCGGGACACCAGGCATTTAACCATTTATTGGTACAAATATAGTTCCAGCGCCTTAATTATACAGCTCATCTCAAATTTTGAAGGAGTGCTCCCCAGCGGACGGGTTTGCTTTCCAGTATTTTAAATGCCCTCATGTATCATAGAGATTAAACGCTCAAAAACATCCATACATTCTCCGGAATTCGGACATGAACGCATCGATTATGATAGCCACTAACTATATCCACTATTCAGATCAGGGCAGCAAGTGATTTCACAAGGCATTCGCATAAATACGAAGAAGATAAAACATGACTCTTGAACACCTCTACCCATTTTTTAATTTTTTATTCTGTTTTCCCTCTTCCTATATATATATTTATAAAACACATACACACTCGTATATACGTATACACACTCGTTGCAAAATTTTGAATATTTGCAAATTATGTCTATTTTTACGAAACGTATTGAATCAAAGGTACTAACAATGTGCCCAACAATACGTAAATATTAGGCATCGAATGTAGTATAAGCGTACGCGTGAATGTCTGAAGAGCTACGACTGTAGATCGGATATAAGCGAACGAAGAGTTTTCTGCGATTTGTGTGCTCGTATTCCTTCACAACATTAACCGTGTTTCTCGCAAATGTTGGGCGAGTTTCTTAAGTTATCAGGTAGAATGAGTAGTCATAAATTGAATGAATGGAGATTGTCGATAGATTTGAGGCATGCCAATCACAAGCGCCGGATGGCTACAGAGCTCGATGCAAATTCTAGTGTCATCTGCAGTTTCTGGAAATAGTTTCAGGAAACTATGAAGATCTGGATAAGGTCGACCATGATCCATAACGAAGGATAAGAATCATTATTTGGTCCCTACAGCGCGATGCACGAGATAAGGCTGTATGCCAAAAGAAGCAGTATTTGCTTCCCGCTCACTGCAGCACAAAAGACAGCGTATTCATCATGGGGCGATGAATATGCATCTTGGACCACACTTTATTGGAGCACCGCGCTTTTTACAGATAAGTCGAGATTCAGCTTGGACACCGATTCTCGGAGTCCCTGTACGGAAGAGAGCGTTGAAATCAATTCTATCGCTCTTATCAGGGAAAATGATCATTATGGTGGTGGAGGTGTAGTGGTTTGGGCAGGCATTATGTTGGACTGCGGCACACTCTTGAATGTGCTTGACAAATGCTCCCTGATTGCTATGAGGTATATAGAGAAGATCTTAGAGTCCTATGTTCGATTTTTCAGGGGCGCAGTTTGTCCTGGGTCCCTGTTAATGGATGACAAAGCTCGTCCACATAGGGTTCAGCTAGTCAACGATTACCCGGAAAGTGAAGGTACTACCTAGCCAGATCTCCTGACTTTAATCCTATACAGCATGCCTGGGACGTTTTTAGGAGGTCATCGTCATCTCGCCAATCCGGAGCTGAAAACGGCCTTCATATGTAAGAATTTTGGTAGATGAGGAAACCAATTAGGGTGGGAATGGTGATAGCAGGTAGCTTGAAACTATTGGGATGATGACTAGAATTTTGGGATAGCTGGATAATGATAGCATCTTTATTTCTTGACCTCTAAGCTATTAAGACATAGTTTCTTGATTAGCATAGCACAATGGGTGCAATCAGCCCGCTACAATTTTATATATAGTAATTACATTTTAAAAATTAGAAGACACCTCTAGCGAAGAGACGTGGGTTATTCATGCAAAGCAAGAAGCGAAAAGAAAGTGCATATATAGCTACTGGAATATTAAGAAGCTTGGCCCCTTTATTTGAATCTTGGACAGAGATTGGGCAGCGCATATTACTGCAGAAGACTAATGAGTGTCAGTGACGGGAGTATATATGCTTTGAAGAGGGTTGTATTTAAGTTAAAACTAGGAATTAGTATTAATCCTTTAACTATATTGACAATATTTAGGAAAAATCCAGATAAGTTCTGTGATAAAAATATTATAATATTTCAATATAAAGAAGATGTTAAGATAGAAAATTGCGTATTATTTTACATTAAGGAATTTAGTGTAGTGCAAAACCAAAAGGACTGTCTGCTTTAAAAAAAAAAAATCAGTTTTCTAGAACTTTGGTTTAAATACTAGCCTAACAGTACTGGAATGTGGTAATCGTATCATGTACAAGGAACATTTTAAGAAATTTTGAAACATTTTTAATGTAAGCATTTTAGGATATCACAGAATCGGATGATTAAAATCCTTCATAAAATATAACTTATATTGCACATGTTCGTAATTCCTTATTCTCTACCTGGGGCAATCGATTAAACAAATGAAGATTCATGAGAGAAAATTTAGAAAGTCTCCGAAGAGCCCATTTTATTTTAAAATCCGTAAATAATAGCAATAATACACATAAATAATCACATTAATAAAATATAACCACATTCATAAAATAATCAATAAGCAAATAATAAGAAGAAGAATGATAATAATTATAATTTAAAAAAATTTAAAAGGTTTCGATTTTAACCTTCGCTCAAAAAGGCTCTTTTAAAGTTTAATATGGTTAATAAGTTCGGACTATGGATAGAGATGGCCCAGGTGTAATAGAGAAACATTTTATAGGATACTAGATGAATATACCTTTAGACTAACATGGAAATTTATGTCATCTGTATATTTGAAAAATGAAAAATATATAACATAATTATATAAAAATATTTAATGTTTTAGTTAGATTTCTCACGAATTAAATGCATTTTTAGTTAATTGAACCAGATTCAAAAGCATGTGTAATATTTATATATGTTTATATATATATATGTCTTAAGAACCTCGTCTACTACTTTTAACTAGCTTGGTTTGTTCATTACCAGCAGACGTAGTAAATGTGAAAAATAAATATCATATATTTTTCTGAATGGCAGCAGACCTGAATGATAAGTGAAAAACGCAAAGTCCCGTTTCGAGAGTAAACTTTCTGGGTTGAAAAATCTGAAAGGCTTCAGATTTTAACACGTCGCTCAAAACCACTCTTTTAATGTTTAGTGTGGTTTACCACAGAGATTATCAATAGAGATGGGCCAGGTGGAATAGCGAAACATTTATATGATATTAGAATGAATATATTTGTAGACTAACCTGAGAATAATACATATATATATCTTCTGTATATTTGAAAAGTGAAAAAATATATAACGGTTCTCTAGAAAAATATCGAATTTAATTAAATTCTATGCATCATAAATTAAATGCAATTTTCATTTAAATCAATCTGTTTAAAAAGTAAAAAAAATAATATTCTTAAGAATTGCATCTATCGCTTTTAAAGAGCAGAGTTATTAATTAATAACAGACAGATTTAATTTGAAAGATAAATATTTTACATTTTGCCGAATGGCAACAGTCTCAATTAAATAACGCGACGCACTTACGCGAATAGTCTCGATTAAATAGCCGCGGCATTTAAAGTGAATCAGCGCAAAATCGTGTTTTGAGACTAATAGTCCATCTGGGTTAATGAAATAAGAAAATTAATAAATTTTCTACTCACATCATTTACATCTAGATTTGGAATTCGTAGAAATTCATATTCAAATTCTTCCAGGGAGTCTTCATTTAAAGAAGGATAATTTTCGAACTAGAAAATGACACAGAAAATAATATAAAGCCCACAATAATCTACAACGCAATCAATAACTAAAATATAATAGGAAAGGAGAAATTGCACATAGGTGTTTAATCGAAATATTGTAAAATATTCAAACACATATTTTATACAATTATAATTGAAAATAAAAATTTATTTTTAATGAATTTTAAGCTGTTGGTACGCATAGCTTTTGCTCTTTATGGAATTATCTGAATGGTGACATTCAAGGGCGTTATTTAAAATTTTAAATGTTTATTTGTAATGAACTGTGAGCAGCTGCCACTCAAAACCTTTCATCTTGTAAGAATCCCAATCTGGGATTTCCACCTGGGGTTATACAAAGTCAGGGTTTCATATGGAATTATTTAAATGATGACATATAAAATGACACAAGTTTATTTAGTATTGAAGTAAGGAAATATGCAAAATTTCATTACAAAATATTTCATACTTGTAGTAAAGGGTGTCCCAATAAAAGTGTCGGATTCAATATACGCAATAAAATATTTTATTTTTAGAAAAGGAAAACTATTATTACATACTTACAACGGGGAAATATTCGGATTTAAGACTGAAATATATTGTCTTTCGTAAAAATATAATTTATGTCTGACGTATGTTCTCCATGACTTGTTCTGCAGCACTGAACTCACCATTTTTGGTAATGAATTTTCACTATCAAAACCTGCTATTCTTCTTTGTAGCGCTCCAAGTCGAGTAAGCTGCAAAGCTGCGAATTGAACTGACAATGATAAATTGGAAGTTTCCTAAGGTCAAATCAAATTTAATACTCGTATTCTTAATTCAGAACATTTGCTTGTTGGAAAACATTAAAAATATTTTCTGAAAAGTAAAACATATTTTTGGGCATACTAAATCTGGCGCGTTTTGGGGGACACCCTATACTTAGGGAAGTTGTCTGGCGGATTTTGTACACTTAATCGTAAAAGTAGAGTATCACCATATTTCATGCTTATTCAACGAAATCGCGCTCATATTATTATTTTAAAAAATATGCATTTGAAATATAAATATCACAAATTGATAGTTGTTATTAATACACGTGGGTATTTATGAGTTCCGGGCACTACTAAACAAAGAAATTACCAGAGCGACCGTCATCAATATACAGTAGAAATGCGATTGTACAGAAAGATGTTCATAACAATAAAAATGCTACTTACTATGTAGTTTTTCAGATCTTGTACTCGCCTTAGCGAGGCTTGTAGATAGTTTAAAAAACTATCGAAATTATCCTTAGGGACTTTGCAATATTTAGATTTTAACACAGTTAATTCCATTTCTTAACACCTGAAACAATAAACAAATTAAATTACCTTCATAATAAAAGTAAATTAAAATGTTGCAGTATTTTGGTTTAATAAATCAGTTTTACTGCTACATTATCATTTGCATTTAATTTCTTTTATTTCAGTATTTTATAGAATATACAAATTAGATAAGTATTTATATAAAAAGAAGAAAGATTTTCAGTTAAGCCTATTCTTAGAGTGGTATTAAAGTTCTTCCAAAAGTCATTCCCTAATCAGTATAGAAGTGAGTATAACCTTATTCCAGGGCAGTTTGTTCCTACTGATTAGGAAATAGCTCGCTTCGGTAAGAGCTGTAAATGCAAATGCGCCTTGACCTTTCAGTTATGTGCGTTGTTGGATTTCTACGCTATTTAATATGGTCCTACATGTCCCAGGTGTTGAAGAAACGCGCAATTCTTTATTTGTCATCTAAACGTATTTAGCTGGCGATAAGGAAATCTTAAGGTAGAATCAAAGCTTCTTCCTCCATTAAGAGATAATCCAAACTGCCAAAACACCAGAAACGAAATTAGAATGTAGAACCATACTTATTATTAATTGTAAGAACGAAAAAATATTTTTCAGTGATACCAACACTGCCAAAGATCCATAGTGGAGTGTAAAAAATTATATAGCACTAGAGTTTCTGTAGCATCAAGTGTATTTCCAGTTAAGAGAGTGAAGGTGATGTCGGATAAGCAGCTTTCTCGCTTCCGTTTTCTACAGTGATTCCACAGCAGGATTATTTAGTGGTTCCGATCAGCCATGTATATGTTCGAAATTTGTGTAGATTTTACGCTAAATATTAAAATACAGACTTTACATGTTTTTCGAATATATCTCTATTTTAAGCTTTATAAGATATTTTTCCCGCCTTCTTAGCATGCCTTCGTGGTGTAGTGCTCAGCACGCTCAGCGCGTATTCGAGAGTTCCGGGGTTCGAGTCCCGGCCAGAACATTTCTCATTTTTCATCTTTCTTGCTTCGAAATAACCTAATGTCTCTACATGTTTATTACAAAATAAATAGCATTAAAATATTCTTTGTAACAAAGCAGTTTATTAAAAAAGCAGTTAATCAGTAACTCGCGTAATACTTTCGACTCTCGAAAAGTTTGTTGAAATGTTTCAGCAAGCGGTGTTTCTTGTCAGAATTTTGCGTTTTAAATGAATTTACAACACAATTATCATCTGCATTCGGAAAATTTTACTTGTTCAACAAAATATGTTTAATATACCAATATTTCCATATCAGAAAATCTTTTTACTTCCTTGTTCGAAGTAAAGGAAGTATTGTAATCGCGAAAAATTTCGGGTATCATAGTTCAACAAAAATATCCATTCTGACCACCCTCGAATTCATCTGAACGAAATTTTTGAATGACATCTGTGCGTAGGGACAGGATAAATGACTCGTTTTGCCAAAACTGGTTGAAAATGGATTTAAATTTAATTCAGAGATTCAAGAATTATCGTCTGCATTCGGAAATGTTTACTTATTCAACAAAATACCAATATTTCCATATTCGAAATGAACAGGGCAAGAAGTTGCAAATTAACAAAATGTTCTGTTAGACATATAAATTGTTCATCATTTTAAAAACGGTCAAAGTCTTTAAAGTATCCAACAAAAAAACAAAAACAAAAACAAAAAAAAAAAAAAAAAAAAAAAAAAAAAAAAAAAAAAACCCTCTTTGTGCGTTTGACTGACTTCCGATAATATAAAAGGGAAGAAACAATACTGAAAATGCACTGAAGTATGAACCAGGGATAAATAGAAGGGCTAGCTCATTTCTTTGTTCGACTCCTCGCCGACGCGAGCCTAATGGGGGGACATAACAGGCAATAATCTGACGTCACTGTGATGCCACCTGTCCTGATTTCCCGTTTAAAACAGTAGTTTCATTTGGAGCTGCGAGACGATTTCTAGAGGTTACACATCCCAAATTAATTTTTAATAATATTATATATCTGTTTTTCTAATATAATGTATATTTTAAAATAATTTATATATATGTAATTTTAGTCAGTTTTTTATTTTAAATTCTATATTGTAAAGTATCGTTTACGTATGATAAATGGCTTTTTATTTTTTTTACGCTGCAGTAACGTGCCGTAGCACTTACAGAAGTATGAAAGGATGAGATATTTTATTTCATGGGACCAAAGGATCCAAATGAGAGTTTACTTTTTGACGAAAGAATGGATACACAAATGTCCAAGAGAAGAATTCTATAATATGAAGAACGGAAAAAATATGCAGCGAACATTTTCTATGCAGTGTTTATGAAGATGATATGAAAAATCGCTTGTTTGGATAGCCCACAAAAGAAACTGTTGAAATGGAATGCTGTGCCAAAAGTAAATTATGATGACAATAATAAATCGAAATTGATGATGACAATATAAATAAATCAATTTTTTTTTAATGATTTGAATAAAAAAAACTCACAAATGAAAATGTAGATCATCCTGAATGTTTAAGGATAAAACAAGAATGCATTGATAATTTGAAGAAAAAAATAATATCCTTAGAAAATTGTATTAAATTGTATTAAAGTATTGAAAATAGAGAAAAGAAAAATTTTAGAATGTTTTGTTCAGCGACAAAGAAGGTGGACGACATCTAGACAGAAATTGGTATCAGAAATTAAAATATCAAATAGCGAAATTTGGGGGGGGGGAGCACAAATTGGAGAATTTGGAAAATTTTCTGAAGCTTATTTTTATAAAGACTTAGATTAATGCATTACTGAAAAAGAAGAAAAGAAAAAAATGAGGTGGACTAGTGAAAATATTTCACGTTGCATTGTCGTAAGAGCTCTGTCATCTTAAAGCTATGATTTTTGGAAAGAAAAGAAATTATTAAGAAAAAAATTGGAATATCTTTACCTAGTATTATGAAATTAAAGAAATGGTGTTTATTTTATTTTTTAGTGTTTTCTAAATCTTAGTGTAGTCCAAGAATTCAAAGTAATGTTCTTACTCTAAAGAAGGAAGAGGCGAATATTTGTATTCTGTAGAAAAAAATATGCGTTCTCAGTTTCGACGAAATGCATATAGATTGAAAACTTTGCTATGACTCTAAATTGGACTAAGTTGGTTCTTTTTAAAAAAATGTGCAGTTTGTTTTAATCAGAGGTCTCATTTCGCGCTCTGCCTCAAATTAAACTGAGAACCGCGTTTTAGATAGAGGATTTGTTTTAGAAGATGTAACCGTTTTTTAAATTTGAAATTTGATATTATTAAAGAGGTTTTAAATAGAGATTGAGAAGAAATCAAATTGGTCACAAACTAAAACCAAATTATTTAATGGTCAAGGGAAACGAGAGACAAAAAGTCGCTCCAGAGAAGACATTATTTTCAAAAAGTACCGCAAAAGGATACTCTACCCCACAGGAAATCAGAAAGCATCTGACTTCTATGAGTTAATCGAGAATATCTTCGGTATTATGAATAGTACCAAAATAGTACCAACAAGAATAACAAGTATTGAACAAACTAATTTTCTTAAGTATTTGTTAAAGGTATTCTTATTGTATCCTTCGTAACTAATTATTGATTAGATTTTGTGCTAGATTAGCATTCTAGATAAAACATAATAGTATAAAACATCAAAGTAATTGGCATAAAAACACCTGTTTCCTCTACTCACACTTTTGAAAAATTAAATAACTGTTTTAGGTACTCTGGATAAAGCTATTTTGTCAAAATTAAGGTGACAATCTTATATACATTTATTTAATTGTATATAGATATAAGTATAAATTACAAAATTATTTAAAAAAATATCTATTAAGAAGAGAATTATAACAATGTAAAATTTACAATTAGGCAAAAATCAAACGGTAGGTTAGCAGAAATGTTGCCATATATATGTCATATATTTTTAAACTTTGTCAATGTAAATTTTTTTTTTTTGAGTAAATTTAAATAGCTGCTATTATAGTTTATCTAGAAGCAGTATAAAAATTCTCTCAGTTAGCATGCAATTAAAGAAATTATTAAAAAAACGTGCATTAAATAAAAAACATGCAAATAAAATTAAAAAAAGCCCACGGAACTTTTATGTTAAAAGAGTAGCACATTTTAATCTATTATTTTAAAATTGAGTAAGCATTATTAATTTTAAAAATGGTTCGTCTAAAATTGCATAAAGCAGTAACATTGTCTCTTCCAAATTATAGCTATCTTTCACACACAGCTCATTTGAACGCTAGTTTCAAAAACGCTAATTCCAAACTGTGAATTATATTGGCGCGCTCAGTGTCATCATGGCTACGTCATCACTTCTCACTTTCTGCTTCAGGGGAAAAAGCTCTATGAGCTAGCCCTTCTCTTCTAAGTCCTGGTATGAACCATGTTCTGAGCTAACACCAGAAAAAAAAAAAAAAAAAAATCAGCGATTTATTCTACGACAGTGATTCTCATCTTTTTACTTTTTACTTCGAAGTAAAGGAAGTATTGTAATCGTGAAAAATTTCGGGTATCATATTTCAACGAAAATATCCCTTTTGACCGTTCTTGAATTCATCTGAACGATGTTCTTGCGTGACGTCTGTACGTATGTCAGAATAAATTACTCTTTTTTCCAGAACGGATTAAAAAATGGGTTTAAATTGGATTCAAAATTTCCGTTTCAGCAGACAACAACCGTTTTCCTAACCTTTAACCTAAATTTCACAAGTCTTCAGTAACGATCAGACTCATTACCACTGATAGAAATAACAACATAAAAGAAATTGACTTCTGCAAGTTTTCTGAAAAACTTAAAAAGATTCTCAGCCTCATTACAAATTCAGTAAATCAAGACAAAACACAGATACTGCTGGATTAGTAATAAACAAGTACCAATTTCGTTAGCAATTCAAGATTTTGACGTTAAAAATATTAACTACTATGGTTTCGAAAATCTTTATACTTCACTCCTATTTATTCAAAATATTCAATAGTCTCTTGACACTACCTAATATTTTTCCAGATATTCTTACAATAGTTACATGTGAAAATTCGTCTATTTACTTCAAAAGTGTATTATTTCACAATTACATTCAATTTAATAATGCCATTCATAAACATGTAAACGGAACCCCAATGGGTTCAAATTCTTCAT